GGTTTTAGCCATACTATCAAACCGGAAATCAGGCTCGGCGACAGACTCCGCTAACAAATCAAATGAAATCAAAGAAATCAATAGTTACTGGACAACTACATCTTAAATCGAATGAACTCGAGTGTGAAGAGTTTGGAGGTTTTAGCCATACTATCAAACCGGAAATCAGGCTTGGCGAGAGCCTCCGCTAACAAATCAAATGAAATCAAAGAAATCGATAGTTACTGGACAACTACATCTTAAATCGAATGAAATCAAAGAAATCGACTGTTATGGACAACTACATCTTACTTGTTGTGAAACATTGAATACGTAAAATTAAAACTCTGGATATAACAGAAGCATTCACAAATTCGGATACTGCCTTTATGTAAATGTAATGAGACGTATTGGCCTACTGGAAAACAAGCCCCTTTAAGGGTTTCTATTTAAGCTCAAATTCTTCAAACCAAAAGTAACCAGATTACAAACAAAATCAATTTGGTTATCCTTATTATTAAACAAAAGGGCGAAACATGACACGTCCCAGCAATATTGCCAAACACTGAAACCTTTGAATGTCATCAATAGCCCCAGTTGTCATTTCGGATTTCATCATCGAATTTCTTCTTCAGCTCTGGATGCTTCTCAAAGTACTCATCTGCAGTCATGGTGCTTATCTTCTTCTGTAGAGATTTAAACAAAAAAGGTGTGAGAAACTATACATTCTACAAGTATATGGGGTTAGCCTGGGACAATCTCCATTACCTTCAATTCTTGAACTTCAGCAATCTCCTTCTCCAAACGCTCAGATTCCTTCAAAGATTTCTCCTCTGCTTCCTTTAGATCCACCAACTGTACTCCGCAGTAACATATAAAACACCTCAGGAAGTTAGAAAGTAGTACATATACTTGGAGAGAGAGAGAGAGAGCTAACCAATTGATCAAATTTAGGCTTGTACTCAGGAGTGACCGTGTCTACATACTTGGGGACTTGAACGCCTGCAACAATTTTGTTGTTTTGATTTCAGGGAAAGATACATGAGACATGACAATATAGATGAGAAGGCCAATACTCAGGCACTGTTCTCTCTCTTGTATACACCCAAGTAATTCTCTCAACATTTACCAAGAACAACATTTGGAATATTTAGAACAAGGATGTCTCAGATGAACATCTGTTTCTAAAATTACTAGGAGAAAACAAAAGCCAAGAGCCCAAAATACAATTATTTATACTATTCTACAATGGTACACGAGCAGCTGAAAATACTTTCCCATGAGACTTCCTATAAATCTAGAGGAGAGCTGGTTCTGTACAGGTTATTAAAATATAATTTCATGCTTATACTAGTCATAATATAGTTTTTAAGTAAGCCCCTTTTAGGGGGTGAGCGGATACAGGACATATCATTCTTATCAAGTCAGTTAACAACAGAAGTTTGTTAAAACACAACTCATCAAGGAAGGGTTGTGTACCTTATATTTGTTAACCAAAGCATAAACATGCACATTGTTGATAAGTCTAAGCAAATAAAGCGCTAGAGGACAAGAAATTTAAATTCAAACAATAGCCCCTAAAGCCTTCATCTATTTGGCACATGGTATCTCATGAAAGAGTGCAAGGCAACCACGTTGTTATGAAATACCGTGTGCCACATTTTCAGCTCAAAGCAGGATGCAAATAGAAAATTCCACAACACCAGACCTCAGTAATCAGTATGTAAGTGTAACTGCAACTAATGTAATACAAGATTGATTCATGGAAGTATTATACTTCTGAAATGGGTTCATTAAGTAGTCAGAAAACATACTGTCATAAGCCTCTTTGTACATATCCACCAAGCGAGACCCAATTCCTTTCCTATAATACTCCCAGTCAATGGGTTCAGGTTCCTGCAACAAAATGAGAATTGGAAACAGAAAATAGATTAAAACATCAGTGCAGTAACGTCCAAAAGTGAACTAAATGCAACCAATAACATATCTTCAGAAGAATACAATTGTGTATAAATCCGTACATGAAGGTTTCCCCGTGATTTCCCATTATAAAGAAAGATTATATAACAAACTCTTCTAATCCCATCTAAGATTTGTCCAAGTTAGTCCATTTAGATCAGCTTTAACAGGTTAAAAGGCTCAACATTAAAATCTACATCAGTATTTAGTAACGAGCTAGCCCCTAAGAAAATCAGTATAAAAAAGGAGAAAACTTTGAGAAAACCAAACAGACCCATTTTACCAATCAACCAAATAACAACCAATAAACAAAACAAAACAAAACCAAAAAAACCCAAATTCAACAAAACGCTATTCAATTCAGAAAACCCAGATCAATAAACTTAGAAATGAAGCAAAACACAGCTAGATATTACAGAGATCTTAACAAAAATTATAAAGAAATACCGCCAAAAAAAATAGAGAGTGTTTTTGTATGTGAGAGAGAGATGGGGGAGTGCGCAGACCTGGCTGAACTTGGTCTGGAGGGTAGTGTTAACCTCATCGAAGGCACGGCGAAGAGAGGCGAACTCTTTGCGAGCCTCATCGGAGACCAGAAGCTTAGCCATGCCCTCCCAGTCGATTTTCCTGGAGGCTTTGAAAGCCACATCGGCAACTTTCTTCCCGGCGCCGCTCATTTTCTCTAGCTTTCTCGCTGGCCAAACAATGTGGAATCAGCCGATCAGATGCTCCTTTTGTTGCTGCTGCTTCGGCTGTGGTAACTAAATGGTGGCTTTGGGTTTGGAATTGGAATTATAGGTTATGGGCTTTGCTTCTTATTTTTGGGGCCTGAACTAGTTGTGGTTTGTTGTTTGGTAATAAATTGGGCTAAAATGTTTCAAGAGAGGCCCATCTATCATGATAGAATTGGTAAATGCAAAGTCATGATATTGATTTTGGTCATTCAAGGGCCAAGTCAAGAATCAGTTTTCGATTATACGGTGCTAATCCTTGACTGAGTACTTCAATACGATACGGTTATGTGGTATAATATGAGTGCTTGACATGATTGATATTCTCACTTTTAAAGTATACTATCAATCAAAACATATCTTACATATATTACTATACATAAACTAATTATACCTTGTCGGATCTCCACTACCACAAGCGGCAACGTCTCGGCGTTGGTGTTGAATTAAAAAAATAGAAATTTAGTGAAATACCCATTCCTAGACATAAAACTATAAATATATCATTAAGCCAATATATACTTCATACTAAAATCCCATAAAATCAAGTTTTCTTATTTGATGTGTGAGGAATAAAAACCGCCAAAAATTATCTTGAGAAAATGATTATTCCTAAAAACCATTTTTCATACTTAGTCAATATTTTTACATAAAACAATTTTTCATGTATGATATGAATGCATGAAGGGACCTAATGTCAATTTAGATAAAAAGCCTTAGATGTTCAATCCACTATGGTGTTAAACCCTATTTGGTTTATATTAAAACTTATTGAAAATTAGTCTATGGAACTATGAACTAGCGTGGTTTATATGATTTAATGTTTACTTTTATTTTTAGAAAGACTACAGTAATTGTAAGTACAAAAAAAATATATATATCATTAAATTTTAAGCTAATAATTTTAGCTAGCCCACCCGTTGAAAACTTCCTGGTTCCGCCCTTGTCCACTACCACAAGCGGCAACGTCTCGGCGTTGGTGTTGAAATAAAAAAATCGGCAAATGAATTTTATCACTTATTTCAAATAAAAAATTAAGTGATAAATGCAAGCCAAGATAGGTTCCCAAAATTTTGGGATATCTGTTATGTTTCAAATTGATGAGGCTAAATCTGATCAGCACTTATCTGTAATTCAAAAGTGTTGTTTGCTCAAGGGAGTCTTATCTAGTTGGCCTATAAAAGGGTTACAATAGAAAAAGAAAAAAAACAAGAAAGGAGAAGCGGTAGACAGATTAAAAAAGACTACTGGAGAAACTAGAGCGGTGCAAAGAAGAGAGAAAAAATTTCTACAGGTATTCTGTCATCTTTATTTCTCTTTTCTATGTTAGGCATAGCATGCCACAAATCCATAGGTGAGTAACCCCGAAAAAATTTGGATGCAAATCCATGGGTGAGTAACCCCGAAATTATTTGGATGTAAAAATCCATATGGGTGAGAAACCCAAAACCTCTACAGATGAGAAAAATCTGGAAAATGCGTTCACATATGCAAATAAAAAAAAGGGGGTTATACCTCTGTCTTTGGTGAATATGTTTCAACTTTCTCACTCTCTGTTAAAAGGCACACTAATTTCTTTTGTGTCTGGGCTGCTCTAAAAAAAAAACAGAAAAGAAAAGAATCAGTTGATAGACTAAAAAAAAAAAAAGATGAAGACAGCCACGTTGTTTTGGGCTTGGATTGCTGCTGGTACATATAACAGCAACAACAAAAAAATGTTAGAGATATATCACGTGTAGCCAAGTTGTCTTAAGCTGGTGCGCCAGCTGTCAATTAGTTATGTGAGTTTGTTATTAGTTTAGAGCCTAAGTCATTTGATAACTCATGTATTAAGTTAAAAAGCTAAACTCTATAAATATTGAGCCAGCTAATATTGTAAGGTTTAACAGAGAAAATCAATAAAGAAATTCCATAACCTTTCAGTTTCTTCTTCGTTTCCTCTGTTCTTACTTGCTTGGTTATCATGGTATCTAGAGCCTCGGTCGATTGATGTGCCTCTTGACGTGATTTCTTGCTCTTTTCGCTCCCTGTTCTTAGGTCTCTAATTCTTTCTCTCAGTTTTTGGTTCATTGTTTACCTTTAAGAATGGTGAATTACTGTCTCCTTGAAGTGATTTTTTCAACATTTGGTGACATTGGTATGAAATTTGTTGCTTATTCTTCGATTTCTCTTGATTCTTGGTGATTGATCTCTGGCACAAAGCCGTATTTCGATGAATTTTGTTGATTTCATGGCACGAAGCCTTCTTTCTTTGGATTTTCTGTGAGTTGTTGGCATGAATCCTTGTGTAACGCATTCTTGTTCAGGCACGAAGCCTTGTAGTGATTTCTTGAATCGATTGTGTTTGATTTTGGCTCGGTGTGTTTTTCTGTGAATTCTTCTTTGAATCTGGTCATGACGGTGAATTCGCCCAAAATTGAGGGTTTGCTGGGGATGCTTACCATTCGCTTGAATGATGATAATTTTGTCAAGTGGTTCTTTCAATTTAAATCAGTTTTTCAAGGTTATGATCTTTTTGACCACTTTGATGGCTCCGAAGTTTGTCCACCGAAGTTTGTCATTGATACTGAGCTCGGTGTCACTACTGAGGTCACTGATGCTTATAAGAGTTGGATTCAGACTGATAAGGCTCTTTTGAGTCTCTTACTTGCTACCTTATCTGATGATGCGATTGACTATGCACAAAGTGCTGATTCTATTGAAAAGTATTTGCTTTGGATTAAGACAACTCGTGACCAGTTAATTGCGGCTGGAGAACGTATTACTGATGATGATGTGGTGATCACTGCTCTTAATGGTCTTCCTCAAGACTATGATATGATTCGCATTGTGTTGTTTGCTCGTGATTCCACCATTGGTCTCACAGATCTTCGAGCTCAGTTACTTAATGCAGAGAGACAAGTTGAAATTCGTATGCATGCTCTTTCTCATTCTATGAGTGCCATGATGGCTACGCTTGCTTCTTCTCAGCCTAATTCTGGTGGTTATAATTTGGGTGGTGCAAAACTCTTTTCGCAAGGTTCCAGCTCAACTCAGGGTTCCAGCTCTAGACCTTATAATGGTTATAATGGTCCCCAGTTTCGATCTTCTCCTCAGTCTGGCCGGTTCAAGTCACCTAGATATCATGGTTCTCGATTTTATTACGACAAGCCCAGTTCTAACTCTTCTCGTTTCAAGCAACCATGGAGTACATCTTCTGGTTCTAAGCCTCATGTTATCCCAGAATGTCAAATATGTAGTAAGCGGGGTCACACTGCTGCCAATTGTTTCTATCGCAATACTGATGATTCAGACTCTTCTCCTGTTATTCAGTGTCAAATTTGTGGTAAAAAAGGCCATGGTGCTCTTGATTGCTACCATCGAGCTAATTTTGCATTTCAATGACAACCAGCACCAGCTTCTCTCCAAGATATGACTGCTCACGCACAAGGGTTTGAGTCTCAAGACAATTGGATTGCAGACACAGGAGCAACTCATCACATGACACGAAATTTATCTGTGCTTGAGATTGCTACTCCATATGATCAAGGTGACAAGATAATTGTTGGTAACGGAGAAGGTTTGCCTGTTCAACATATTGGCCATGCCAATCTTCCTATCACTTCTTCTCAGTCTTTATTATTACCTAATGTTCTGCATGTTCCACAACTATCAGCTGATTTGCTTTATGTCTACAAGCTCTGTCAAGATAATAATTGCATGGTTACTTTTGATGATGTTAGTTATTGTGTGCAGGACAAGGCAACAAGGGCAGTTCTTCTCAAGGGAAGGAGTAGCAAAGGCCTTTATCATTTTCCTAAATCTCTACCATTCACTCCTGCTTCTTCACCCACAGCCTTTCTTAGTCAGAAAATAAACCGCATCACGTGGCATCAACGCCTAGGCCATCCTACTAATGAAGTACTTGTGAAGATGTTGCACTCTTCTCAAATAGTATTTTCTCCCGATTCTTCATCCATTTGCTCAGCTTGCTTAGGTGGTAAAATGTTTAGGCTTCCTTTTCCTGTAAATTCTGACAGAGTAGTACATCCCTTTCATAAAGTTCATAGTTATATTTGGGGTCCATCTCCAGTTGTATCCATTGAGGGTTATAGATATTTTGTCCTGTTTGTTGATGAGTGTACCAGATTTATTTGGATGTTCCTCTTATCAATAAATCAGATGTTTACTCTACTTTTGTCAAGTTTCATGCCTTTATTTCTACCCAATTTTCTGCTTCTATTATGATTTTGCAAACTGATGGGGAAGGAGAATATCAAAGTCATTTGTTTAAACAGTTTTTGACATCTAAAGGGATATTGCATTAGGTGTCTTGTCCTTACACTCCCCAACAAAATGGGTTAGTGGAAAGAAAAAAAACTAGCATGCAAACAGGCATGTGACCAAAACTTGGTCCCTGGTTTGTGCATTAAACACAAATTCTCAGTTAATGGGCCACACTTACCCATTAATTTCCAATTTTTCCCATATGTCATCTACCTATGAAAATTTCCAAATTATCTCAAAGACGCAAATTCTAAATTATTGGGCCACACTTACCCATTAATTTCCAAATTTTGGAATTACGTTGGTTTGATCCCATTAGGGATATGTAGGCAGTCTAGCATCCCAATAGATGCAACTGCAACCAAATTTGAATCACTGATTTTATCAACCAAATTCCCACCAATCAAATATCTATCTTCACACAAATCAATTTGGAATTATGCTGATTTGATCCCATCAAGGGTATGTAGGCAGTCTAGCATCCCAATAGACGCAACCATTACCAAATTTGAATCACTGGTTACATCAACCAAATTCTCACAAATCAAATACAAATCATTTTAGAACTACGTTGGTTTGATCCCTTTGAAAGGGTACGTAGGCAATCTAGAGATTCAATCTAGATGCAACCGTCCAAATCTCAAATCCAAACAGAATCTCTGGTTTATTCTTAACCAAATTCACCCCAAACACACATCAAAATCAAATCCCTGGTTTATTATCTAAATTCACTCAAACACTTTTTTCAATCAAATTCATTCAAATTCTCTCTTTTGCAATAAGTCATTCATTCATTGCAAATCTTTGAACTACGAGTGGCTTGATTCCCGCGAGGGATACGTAGGCACCTTGAGGTTGGACTTGGGAGCAACTACAAAACCAAACACACACGTTCTGTTTCTTTATGATGGAATCAAAGGATTTTCCCTTGAAGCAAGGGATTGTAATTAAGAGACTTGCGTCTCGAATGGGTCGAACCTAAAATAATAAAACCCTATTATGTAACTAGTGGTGGTGAAATTATGTTGGGAGGTTCACATTTTTCTTCAACAATTGGATTTTCACTTACATTTCGATGTCAGATCTCCACCACCACCATCCTTTTTGTTGTTTCTTTATGTTCGGAATAAGTCACAGAAACTCTTTAGGTTCTCTGTGTAGTTTTTACCTCTCATATTGTGAGAGCTTTTCACCTCTCTTTTGTGAGAGCTTTTCATCTCTCCTTTGTGAGAGTTATATTTGTATTGTTATAGCTTGGTTTTTTCAGGCTTTATCTCTTTTTGATTATTCTAAGTTTGCAATCTTAGTTGGGATGCCAATGCCAAAGTTTCTTCAATCTTGCATGATCGTTAGTGGAGGCGCACCAAATTGTTTTAATTTTGATGTTAGCCTGCTCGGTTCTTGTAAGGGCAGTTCCATCAGCCCCCTAGGGCAAGGGCTGGGGGGGGGGGG